AATGTACGTCCACAAGTTAATAGTCTGGATGGTCAACATGATTGAGGGAAAATAGAGAGATAGGGCTCACTAACGAGAGCCCATTTATTATTTAGGAGGATAACAAGCTGGAGTGCACCCCTGCCATTTAATGCCACGCTGGCTCCCAAATCCACGGGGAGACTCATAGCGACACTTATTTCATTGAATACATCATCAGATATATACACTTTTAATTGAAATGCAACCTCTACTTTTAAAGCCCATTTATAGGGGAGTGGAAAAAGTCAATGACGGAGATCTCAGGAATAAATAATTCAAACGATAAAAGCAGGCTTTTAACGCGTTGATTTATCAGTCTCTTATGGGGTCCATTTTATTTATGATTTTCCAATTCCAATCGTTTTTCAGATTAAACATTTTTTTGAAATATGATTTTTTTAATTTGTCAAAAATTAATAAATGCAGTTACCTCTTGCTGAACCATTTTACAAAGATATATTTTTCTGTAAGTTCCTTTTTCGTATGGACGAAAATACGTACGTACATATCAGACGAACAGACCCAAACCGATGGATAGCAAAAATAACAGAGTGGAGCCCCATAGGAAATCGCAAAAGAGGCAGACCAAGAAGATCTTTCTTAGATGAGGTAGGTGAAGCCATGGAAAGAAGAGGATTGGAAGACGGAGAATGGAGGTGGAGAACAAAAAAGAATGGAGAAAACGGTTGAGAGAAGGGAGACAGCGACAGCTGTAGGAACCCCTTTCATATTAATACCCTTTTTCCAACAGTTTTTAAATAAATGATTGATTGTAATAATGCCTTTCCCAACAGTCAAAATAGCAGTATCATCAGCAAAATTGCAAAAATGTTGTGCTTACGGTTGGGAATTTTAGTAGTATATAGTTAGTAGAATATTGGGTCCATTCCACTACCTTCATGCACTCATTCCTTAATTTGTAGGTCGGAATAAACATCTTCTTGCTTTATTTTGAAGTATCTCTTCTGAACTTCTGCAGAATATTATGGAGTTCCAAGAAGCATTATATTTAACCGAATACATGGAAGAAAAACTACACTGGAATCTCTCGGGCGCTGGTCGGCATAGTGCTCTTTCAAAAGAAGTTGAGAGTCAACTAAAAGAGCTAATTTTAGGAGAGCCGACTTTGGTTCTCCCATGGATAAAGAAGGATTATTATTTTTCGTTCAAAGTTATTGTCAAGATTCAAAAATTTCCACTGCTTTCAAGCAAAATAAACCCGGTCAATATTGATATCAGAATTTTATGAATCAACATTCTCGATTATCATTAAAGGAACCACAAAGTTTGCAAAATAAAAAAGCCCTGACTTCTGATGCTTTTTTTGTAGAAGACCATTACAATAAAGCGCTAAATAAAAAAATAAAGCGCTTTATCAACGCATTCGTGGCACAGGTCGTGAAAATATACAATCAACTGTTGTATTAGCGCTGATGGTTCTTATTTACCACCTCACATAATTTTACAAGAAAGTGCAGTCTTACCAATATGGACAGGAAGTGGTTTAGATTTTCCGGAAATACCTATTCGGCAACTCCAAAAGGATATATGAAAGAGGCAGTCTTCTTTAATTGGTTTGTTGGTCAGTTTATACTCCATGTGAAAAAAGTTAAGAGATCACTACCAAATGTGGAGCCTACTCAAAAAGCACTTTACATGACCAATGCATCTGAAGATTGAGAATGTAGCGGTAGAATCAATTATAATGGAGGTATTTCCAGAAGGTAAAAATCTCGTAACATTATACCCTTCTATTAGGAACATTGAACAAGCCTGGAAAGAGTCGAAGATTTCTCACAAATAGTATTGTTTTTATTTAATTTGTTTGTTTTAAATTTAGTTAATCACTCAGTTGACAATGTACCGTTTAATTTCTGAATAACCTAGTAAGAGAAATGATCCATTTTATTATTTTTTATATGCATTAAATGATAAGCTTTTGTCTTCATTTACCCATTTTATTTTATCTATCTATCTATCTAATCAGCCTTAAACGCCCACTCTTGGACATAGGCCTCCCCTGTTAATCTCCATTGGTCTCTATTTTGGGCGACCTGCATCCAGTCCTTTCCTGCCGTTCTCTTAAGATCGTCAGTCCATCTCATCTGTGGTCTTCCTCTTTTCTTTTCTTTTCCCATGGTCTTCAGTGTAGAATTCGCTTATTCCATCTTTCATCTTTTTGCCGAAGAGTGTGACCGGCGAAGTTTATTTTATAGGTGATTTAAATTGGGAAAAAATTGCAGTCTTCACTTACCCCGTACATTGGGGCCAATCATATCAGTGAAAAACATTAAATTAAGTTGTAACATTAGAAATTACATAATTATTACACTAAGTTAATTGAGACATATATTCTCGATTAAACGTATTCATAATTATTGGTGTTATTAGCGACCTGTCCGTTTTTATGAATATTTTTAATAAAATTTGATTTATTGGCAATTACCTTAAAGTATACAGGTAGTTAATGCAATTACAAAACGAACATACACTTTAATGTGTTGTGTATAATATTTCTATTAAAAAATCAATTTCTTGCTTGTAATAAATGTATAACATTTAGAAAAAAATATTGCTTTGAAGTTTAGACAAAAATAATAGCCTCAGAAACGCTACAGAAAGTATTATTCGGTTTTTAAAATTAAGATGATTAATGGCAAAAGAAGGAAGTAAACATAGTATGCAGAAACACAGAAAACGAATACTATCTCATAAGATGTGCAAAGTTTGTACGGCTATATATCCATAATACAATAATCTTCAATAAAGATATCTGAAAATTGCAATGCTTGGATTATGCTTAAATATCTGCTGTAATGTTGATAAACATTACAGAAAATATTTAAACATTCTATTTAAACATGGTAAACATTATACTGAGCACGAACGGCAGTAAATATAAAAAGTTGGACTGTGGTATAGTTTGTCCAGAATCCAGTCAATGCTAACAAATAAAGGTTGCATTGTGAAAGATGGACGAGCTAAACATACAGTGCGTTAAGTTTTGGATTAGGTATACACTCTATAAATGGCAACACTGCGCGTCGTCGACTTGCCACTACATATCTGCTTCGTTGACTCGTCGTTGCTCGTCGCCCGTCGGCAAATTTGTCATATTGTCATTATACCGTGGTTGCTTAAAGGTATTTAAAGGTATTACCGTAGAGTTTTAATTTATTTTTGTAAACATGTCTGTTTATATGTCCGCGGAAAAAGCTCAAATAATAAAATGGTTTTATTAGTGGCAATTCTGCGCAACAGTGTGTAGATTTATTTTCTGTGTTTTTTGTAGGGAAGACCAATTCCTTGTGTACAGTCATATTTATAATATTTTAAAAATTTTGAAAGTTGTTATTGCCTCAAAAATTGCAGAAAATGTCACGCTCAAGAAGTGTTACCAGAAAAAGTTGAGGAAAGAGAATACCGGAATACACAAATTGTGCAACAATCAAGGTAGATTCAACACGTTCAAGTAGAAGCGTTGCTAGAGAGTTAGATGTTAGCAATGTTACTGTAACGAAAATATGGAAAAAGCACGGTTACAAGAATTTTAAATATTCGAAAACGCAGCAGCTTTATCCAGACGATTACTTTCGAAGAATGGAGTTTTGTGAAACTCTAATAACGAAGGCTAATAGTGAACTAAATTTTATTAAAAACATTTTATTCACTGATGAATCTTCTGTTTCGTTAGTAGGGAGACACAATCCTTCCATTACGAGGTATTGGGCGCGGGAAAACCAGCACAGAAATGTTGTTTACTGAACTCAACGTCCTCAAAAAGTTAACGTCTGGACTGGCATTTTAGGACACCACATAATAGGTCCATTTTTTATTGAGGGCAACTTGAATAGTAGAGTATACCTCATTTGTTACAGAATCATGTTCTTCCCGCTATTCTCAATCTTCCTGATGTAAATCTGGAGAATGTTTGGTTTCATCAAGACGGCTGTTCAGTTCACAACACTCGAATTATTAGGGAGTATTTAAACAATACTTTCCGAATCGAGTTATCAGTGGAACAGGCGATATTAAGTGGCCTGCGCGATCTCCAGATCTTACACCCATGGACTTCTTTTTTTGATCATCCTGAGGCTAGAGCCCAAAATTTGGATGAATTAAAAAATCGAATAAGAGAAGTCTCCAATTATGTTACAGCAGAACTCTTTCATCTGTTCGCAGAAGTTTTTATGACAGATTGGGGGTACTGTTCAGTCGTAGAAGGTCAACTATTTGAACCATTTCTGTAGGTCATAAAGAATTATTTTTTATTTTATTAGGAATAATATTTTAATTTTCGATAAGAGTATATTTTTTATTTTATCTTTTTAAAGAAATACGCTTTTATTTTTAATTCAAACACAAAAAAATTTTCACATTAATAAAAATCGATAACAATGCACCGATTAGGTCAGTGCATTTTTATCGAATTTCCTACTATTAAAATCGCCTATACGTAATGAAACATGAGATCGGACGATAGAAGTGGTACATCCCAAACGTTGTTGTGAGTTACTCTAAACTAAAATGATTTTCTGTCGGTGCAGATAGTCTCGGGTCGGGGAGAACGAACATTTGCAACGTTGTCGATTTTAGCGCTCCGTATAGTGTGCAATACCTAATCAAAAACTTAACGCACTTTAGTAATAGGCCACATGAACTTACCTACTTAAGTATGTACCTACCCAACAGAAGTTTATTGAAATATACGAAAAGTTTTTACGTGCAAAAAGTCTTTTTGTGAGAAGTAGTCATCATGTGTTCATAGTTCTACATAACTACTGTATATTATAAGAGTAAAATCATATAAAATAAACACCACCGACGATTTAATATAATCAATTCATAAAATCATAAAAGATATCTGATGGGCAAAAATATTACAGCCGATAAGATAGAACACAATGGATATATACGGTTTCCCTATAATTTATCAAGGGATAAAGGACTCTTATGATATAATAACAAAGTGAACTTACCCATTAAATGGATATCCTGCGAATGCTGTATCGTAGGGGTGATAAACTGAGGGGTAGGGCCAGCCTGCAGCTCCTGTCGCTAGATTTTCTTTCAGTTCTAGACCGGCAGCCTGAAAAAGAATAAGATTATTAATATAATGTATAGTGCGGATCATTATTGCATAGTATACAATGTTCTACATACAAAAACAATGTTTTTTCAAAATTTAGAAGATTGATCCATTTTTTTTTTTCATTAATACTCATTGTTCAATTTTCTACTCATTGTGTAAATTAATCGATACGTTTCTCCTCCTTGTAAGCGATCAAGAGTGTGGGCTATATGGTGGGCCAGATGCAACTCGAAACTGGACCAATACACACATCTTAAAATTGGTTTTGTTCGTGTTTTCATAAAATAGTGTAATTACTATTAAGTTACCGGTAAGTCCACACCTAATTTTACCTTAACCGATACATGTTTTGATTGTTTATTGCAACCATTTAAAATTTGATGAATATTTGGACCTATGAGCTAAAGTTCATTTATCTCACCAGGGCTATTCAAGGAAATATAGTTAATATTAATTTATTTATTATTAATTTTGTTACCAAACCAGTTAAAGAAAACGAATGGTTTGACAAGGAGTGCCAAGAAGCAACAGATAACAAAAACAGGGCATTCCTAAAGACAAATCAAGCTGATGCACAAGAAGAGCAAAGGAAGAATACCGGACACTAAGAAGAGAAGAAAACGATTACATAAAGAAAAAAAAGACAATTTGAGCAAAAGCAGTTGGAAAGCACAGAATGGCTAAGAAATCAAATGAAACTCGAAAGTTCTACAGAAATCTAAACAAAATGCGCAAAGAGTTTTATGCACAAGAATAAGGAGCTGTAAGGATGTAGAAGGAAACATCCTAAATGATACAGTCTCAATCCTACGCAGATGGGTTGAATTTTTCGATGCAAAATTTAATGGCCATCATATCGAAGAAGCAGATAACACCCTAGCAAATCGAAATGATTGGAATCCTTTCAACCCAAACGAAAGACCACCTATCATCGAAAACGTTGCCCAAGCCATTTAAAAAGCTTAAAAATAATAAATCACCAGGAGTTGATCAAATTTGCAGTGAGCTCTACAAGAATGGTGGCGATGCCCTACTACAGACACTGCATAAGCTTTTACTTCTTGTTTGGCATAATGTGACCATGCCTTGTGAATGGTCTCAAGGCGTGATATGCCCGTTACATAAAAAAGGTGACCAGCTCCAGTGTGACAACTATAGAGGTATAACCCTGTTTAACAACTGCTTACAAAATACTAGCAAATATTCTCTACGAAAGGTTGCAAGTTTACACAGTGGGCATAATTGGTAAATATCAAGTTGGATTCACTCTAGAAAAATCAACAATTGACCAGATTCATTCAATAAGACAGATTCTCGAGAAAACATTAGAATTCAATATTGAAACCCATCACCTATCCGTCGACTTCAAGGCCGCATACGACAGTGTCAAGAGAACAGTGCTATACCAATCAATGCATGAGTTTGGTATACCAGAGAAACTTATCCGACTAACGAGAATGACAACGTCTAATTTAGAAGCCACTGTTAGAATACAGGGAGAGAGTTCTAGATCCTTTGAGATAAAGGATGGACTCAGACAAGGAGATGCTCTGGCTTGCCTCCTATTTAATATTGCCTTAGAAAAGGCAGTCCGAGATACACGAATTAGGGATGGCGGTACTATTTACTAATAGATCGATACAAGTCTTAGCAGATGCTGATGACATTGATATAGTAGGGCGTAGCAAGCGAGATGTTGAGCAATATCTCCTAGAATTGGAAACAGCGGCGAAACAGGTCGGTCTAGTCATCAACGAAAACAAAACCAAGTACATGTTGGTTACAAAGAATCCGATAGCAAATGAGGAACGAGAAACAGTCTTTGGAAGTCATACCTTTGGACGTGTTGACAACTTCACATACCTTGGGTCGCTATTGACTGCTACCAATAAAACAAGCGAAGAAATCAAAAGACGAATAAATCTTACAACATAGGGCATACTATGGACTCCAAAAGCATTTCCACTCAAGAAACATTCAAAGAAAAACTAAAATTATTATATACAAAACATTGCTGAGGCCGGTCCTCACATATGGAGCAGAAACATAGACTCTAACGCAGAAAGATGAAAGACTTTTGGGAATATTTGAGCGTAAAATACTCCGCAAAATATTTGAAGCTGTAAACGACCAAGGGCAGTGGCGCAGAAGATATAATTTTGAATTGTATCAGCTCTTTGATGAGCCAGATGTCATAACGTTCATTAAAACACAGCGAATTAGATGGGCTGGACACATAATACGAATGCCAGAAAATACCATTGCTAAAAAGCTAACCACAGGAACACCTGTAGGAAAAAGAAGCAAAGGCCGACCGCGAATTAGGTGGTTAGATGGAGTAGAAACCAACTTACGAATATTAAAAATCAGAAGATGGCAACATGTTGCCAGAAACCGAACAGAATGGCGACGAATCTTAGAGCAGGCCAAGATCCACAGAAGATTGTCGAGCCAAAGATGATGATGATTATTAATTTTGTAGTAATAGATCATTGTTTATTTAATTTGCCGCATTCATTATTAATTAATAAAAAGATAAACAAAGATCTGACTAACTACTACCAGTACAGCATAAACGACTGACATAAACAATGTCATTGTGACAAAGGTAATATCCAGATAAGACTTACGAATGGACACTAAACAGTAAAAAAGCCTGGAGTAACCATATAAGCAGAATGAGGAAGACCAGAGTGGTCAAAGTAACAAAAGATAAATCATCAATTGGTAGAAGTATCGAATGACCGCACAAAATAAGGAGTGACAACTTTCCATAGAGGTATCAATCCGCCGATGAACAAACAGAATTACTTAAGAGCTTGAATAAAGAGGCAGAAAAAGAAGAAGACCATTGACTCTGAGGATGTACGTATAGTAAAAAACACTAATTACCCACGCTTTGAATAACATTAAATTACTTATATTAACTATTTATTAAATTATCTATTCGACATCGTATTTTGTATTATTTAAATTATATCGTCTTAATTAGATACAAAGAGTATAGTAACGATTACTAATACCTTTGTGTCGATCTACTTGTCAAGTGCGAATAAAGTTAACCTCTGAACTTATTCAATTGATTTAATGCATGTACGACAAATTTAAATATAAAATCAATATTGTTTTGCAATGAACTCATCGACTCTTAAGGAATGTATTAAACTATTGTAAATGTATGTTTCTTAGCTTTCTAGGTACTTTACGATTTATGTAGTGGAGACCGTAGACTATATTTATTTATATACGGGAAAATATTGCATAATATTAAATTTAATAAAACTACATAAAAACACGGATCACATCCCAATCGGCAGAGGAGTCCGACAGGGTGATACCTTATCGCCTAAACTGTTTACCACAGTACTAGAATATGCTTGTAAAAACCTTAACTGGGAAGAGAAAGATCTGAACATTGACAGCAGAAGATTAACATATTTGAAATTCGCAGATGACATAGTTTTGTTCTCGGACAACCTCAAGGAGATATGTACAATGCTACATAAACTTCAGTTAGTGCGTGCCATTGAGAGTCTTAAAATAAACATCTCCAAAACAAAACTCATGTCAATTTTAGTACCTAGCGGAAATATCTATATTGGAGACAACGAAGTAGAGCTGGTGGAAAAATACATATACCTTGGACACGAAATAATGATCACAAGATACAACCAAACATTCGAACTACGAAAAAGATTAAACGTAGCATGAACAGCCTATGGAAAACTCAAAGAAAGACATCTTTAAAAGCGATATACCAATTTCTTTTAAAACGTAAAACATTTTTTGACCAATGTGTGTTGCCTGCGATAACCAATGGTGCCAAAACTTTCGACATTGACGAAGTAGAGAAATTAAATGAAAAGTGCTCAAGATAGAGCACAATGGACAAAAATTGGGTAGGCCTATGTCCAGTTGTGGAACCAAAGGGCTGGGTAATGATGATGACCAAGTGGTGTGATTATTTTATACTTATGAGTAGAGTGGGTGTTTGGGTAGGACCTGAAATTGTTTATTCACTGCACTTTGCGGCTTTGAATTGTAATTTGGCAAGTGAATATGCTCAACCTATAGAATAGAAGGTAGTATGTCCTTAGTTGTATCACGAAGATTTTTATATATTGTAGTATATAAATTGGTCACCAAAAGAAGAAACAACTCTGTTGCCTCTATGTTACATGCCTGGAATCATAAGGAAACAGGATTTTTAGTTAAAATTTCCATCGAGATTGCCACATCAGATATGAAAACACAAAGGTGGTACAGAAGCCTAGCATCTAGTTAGTAAATAAGTAGCTAAAACTAATAACTGACGTATTATTTACTGGTAATTGAAGTAATAATAACTGCCTCATAATCTTATTTAATCTAAAATAATCAACAGCCATTTGAATCAAGTCCAATTAAGGAAGGGAAAGCTAGGCAAAATGTTTTACCTCTAAAGAGCACAAGTATTAACGATCGCACCGTGCCAGAAAACATTGTTCTGGTAGTAACTGGAAGTTTTTTACCCGAAGAAAGAAAAGTTAGCTTAAAAACATAAATGTACGTGAGCGGTTCCGGTGGACGGCAAGCTATATATGTATTCCTTACACGTGATTCTTTTGGTGGAGCTCCGTGAAACATGAATTTTAAAAGTGAAGCAACACTTTTATGTTCCTCCTCCTGGGCTTCATCATATTTTCGCTTTGATGGTACAGAATTGTTTCCTATATAAACTCTAATTCTACTAGTTGGAAGAGTGATTCATCGTTTAAAGGTGGAAAAGTGGGGAAAGACGTCGGCACTTTCTTGGCAAAAACGAATTTTTACGGCTATCTGTGGGTCGGAAATTACTCCGTCGTTAATTCCAAAGTTGCCAAACGATTTTATATCGATAAAATTATCGATTTTTATTTTATAAATTTAAATACTTATGTAACGAAACGAAACATATAAATAAAATTTATTTCATTACAATTTTGAGCTTATATTTTTACTATTAAAAAAAATAATTT